AAAAAAAAAAAATGGTCACTCACCTCTGGACTTTCTAGATGTTTCACATCAGTAGCAGTATCATCTTCCTCCCATGGTGCATCACCACTAGGATCCTTCATGAAACTGACCATTGACTGCGCAGTCATTTTCCGATCATAATCTTTATGAAACTCTCCGTTTTTATAGTGTTTTAAAGATACAGGTTCAGGATTAACCTTTAACTTCTTGCACATTTTTTTACCTTCCCTGCAAAGCCATAAAGTCAATACATCAGAACAACTATCAAAATTTTACATCAAAATAAAATAGTTGACTACTGTTAAAAAATAATGTGAATGAATGAATAATACTGACCCCGAGCAATCAACAAGAACCATTGTGCCTTGTCCCCGAACAGTACCAGCAGCATCTTTGAAAATACGAACTGTTGAGTCCCCAGCCTTTAATGAGCTAACAAATAACATAAGAACATTGTTTTTTGTTCTAAGCAACTTTTTGAAATCCTTGATATCAGTTACTTCCTCCACGCCTTTGGTAGCTGATCCCCGTTGTGCTGTGGTTACAATGAAACAGCCAGCCAGGAGCTGAAAATTAAAGAAATTAAGATGAAGCAGAAAAAATTTCACAGACAGACAATATTTAAGAGAGTTTTCTGTTGTAAGAACATTTTAGTTGTGTTTATTATGTCAAAGGTTAGGCATCTATTTGGAGTTAAACTAGTAACATAAGAACTGATTCACATAAAAACTACGTCAGAGCAGTCAATTACAATCAATAGAAAATTAACATATCACAGTCGAATAATAATGTTCAGGAAAAATTTAGACCGAATCATAATCTTGAAACCGGTTATTGACATTAGTCGGCAACTGACGTTTCGTCCTCCGTCAACACATAGGCGTAGACTCAAAGATTAACAAATCCTTGATAAGATTTTGTGAACTTACGATGAGAAAGAGTTCTGAGCACCGCATCGCTGACTGATTTAGGCCGAAAATACAGAGATATCAATAAATTTTGGTGCCTAGCACCAAAATGCGGCGTTCACAAGGATGTCTCTTCTCGTCTGCACGTCGGCTGACAAAAAAAATGGACGTATGAGAAACTCACCACTCTTTTCATCATTATATATTTCAATCAAATTAATTTCAATGGAACACAATCTAATTATTTTTAATGAGAAGTAGAGTTTTTTTACAGGTGGAGCAAGAAATGATGGTTTTTTTAATTAAATTCAATCATCTTCTCTGGTGTATAGAGTTCTCATACATGTTGACTAGGTTCCGGAGTTCCGGAGACGCGCCCGGCAATTTTTGTTGTTTTGAATTACTGTTGTTTCTGCAAATCTGCACAAATCTGTAAATCAGTTATGGCTCTACATGCTAAGGAGACGATTCACGACATTGCCTATAAAGGTGATATCCACACAATCAAGTTAAAGCTGCAAGAAGATAGTAAACTTCTGACCAAGAAAGATGATGTAAGTTTAACGGGTTATCATCAACGAATGCTTGTCATCATCCCAGGTTATGTTTCTGTTTTATCTGCCATTTAATACAAGATACAGGGTTTTCACCTATTATCCGATTTGGTGTCTAAAAGAATAACTCGGAAATTGTTTTTTCAGAATGACAGATTGTTGATTCACTGGGCTGCTTTGGGAGGACACGAAGAGCTCCTGAAGCTGCTGTCAGATCTTGGCTCACCAATAGACAGCAAAGACGATGTAGGTCTAAGCCGACAGGCAAACAATTATTTGGTCTCATATTACTTTTGATTTATTTTTTCATGATTAAATTTCTTGATCTTTTTCAGATTGGTTCTACTCCACTAATATTAGCTGCTTCCGCTGGAAAGGAGCAAGTGGTGCATACACTTTTATCTCTAGGGGTGAATGTAAATTCGCAGAATAATGAGGGTCATTCAGCTTTGCAGTATGCTTCATCTAAAGGATGGTTAGAGGTATGGCTCTCAACATTACCACATATATAAAGACTAAATTTCTCATTTGCTTTAAAAAAATTCTAAATTGGCTTCTTTGCTCTCCATCAATTATTTTTTAACTCGTTTTTCTTCTTAATTTGCAGATTGTCCAAAAACTGTTGTCTAGCCATGCCAACGTTAATATCACTGACAAACGAGGGGCGACACCTCTGCACAGAGCTGCTTCTCGAGGAAACACAAACATTGTGAAAGAATTGCTTGCCTGTGGCAACCAACTAGTGGTAGATGCAAAGGATGCTTATGGCAATACACCACTGTAAGTTGATGACTGTACCTTAAGTGTTTTGTTCTTACTCAACTGAATGATCTCACTGGCGTACTGAATACTTGCAGGCATCTTTGCTGTGAAGAAGATAGAGCAGAGGAAGCAGGTTTACTTGTGCAGCATGGTGCAAGCCTGACAATCAAAAACAAAGAGGAGAAAACTCCTCTCGATCTTGCACCACCGACTTTAGCTCGCCAACTTAAGAACTGGGTGGAGCAATAAAAAATGATCTTCAATAAAATCTGTTTATTTATTTGTAACACACATAAGTAAAATTAGACATGAATAGCACTGGAATTGGAATATACCTCCAAATTAGTCCTTCAACATCTGAAGTGGAAATATTGTCTATGGTACCAACATAGACCACATTAAAAAAACAAACAAAAAAACCCTAGAAACATGAAGTTGTGGTCTGACTGCCAACATGTTGCTGGGAACAGAAGAGGCTTTACAACCCTCAAAAACTACATTCTCACTAGATGGTTTTCAAATTGTAACAGTAAAAAACGCTTAATGTTAGCAATCCACTAACTGGGTGTCGAGCAGCAATATAACTACACCCATTTTGAATATCAGTACCACATTATTTGTCAGGTTTTCAACATTTGAATGACAATCAAACAACAGTTTCATGTACTAGGGAAAGCAACATAAACCTTAACCAAAGACAAATAATTAAAGAAATGTAATAAAACTGAACATGTCTTAACATTCAGAGCCTTCAAAATATGACATTTTTGTTTCTGAAAACTTTTAGCCCTTGAAGTTATCTTTTTCTCTGCGAATGTGTTGCATAGTAGCAATTGGATCATGTTGTCCTGAATGTTCTTGGACACTACTTTCACAAACTCTCATGAAAGGATTGGTAAGTTTCTCAATTCCTGGGCAGAAGAATTTATTGGATAACAATAATTAGATAGCAATTTTCCATTTTTAAAAATGCAGTCCTATATGTCTCCTGAGACATTAAGGTCTTACCTATAGTAGATGGAACAGTTGGTTCTTGTCTCTCCCTCTTCTGTTTTGCTCTTGCATCTTGCTCTAGTAAATCATTATTGTGGGGCTCCACATGTTTGGCAAATTTGTAGTTGGCAACTGTGTACTCATGCCCACAAAACACTTTCTGCCAAAAAAAGATGCAAAACCAGATAAAAGTAAATTGGTACTTGATTTGCAGGCAATAACATGATAAGTGCAAGAAATTTGGTATTTGCAAACATAGGTGCAGAGAAATTAGGTGCACAAATCACATTGAACATGTTAAGAGGAAAACTGCAATCAACTCACCGTATCATCTGGCAAATTGCCTAAAATTTCAACCAATGCTTTGTACATTTGCTCTGGGCTGCCTTCAAAAAACCGTCCACATCCTCCAATGAAAAGGGTATCTCCTACAGATAATAGAGAAAGTGTGTGAAGAAAATTGAGAAATTGATCAAACATTGCTGTTTTAGAAAGCATTTGATAACAGTACTGTTATAATCTTACCTGTGAAAACTGCAGAGGGTTCACCAGGTGAACTAACAAGGAAACAAATGTGGCCAGCTGTGTGGCATGGGGTAAACAGTGCTTCTATTTGTAGTTTACCCACTGAAAATGTATTGCCATGAGATACCTTCTTTGTTAGAGCTGGTATTCTATCATCACCCCCATAAACTTCAAGACCAGGATGCCTTTTGACCAGCTCCTCATTTCCTCCAGCATGGTCCCTATAAATTGAGTTAACAGGTTTAAGCAGCAGCCAACATTTGGTTCACAAATATTAAAGCATGAAAATTCAAATTATTTACCAATGATGATGAGTTGTCAGCACAGAGGTCAGACTGACATTTTCTTCTTGGACAGCCTCAAGGGCAGTAGATGGGTTAACTGGATCTACAATCATTGCCTTCTGTGTTTCCTCATCAATGACCTTAAAATCAATGACCACAGTTTAATATGATACAAATAAACTTAAAATTTCTACTTAAAATAAAATAACTTAACCAAAAAGGTAGACTAAGTTTTAAAAAAATCTACTACTTACCAAATACATATAATTGTCTTGTAGAGCAGGCAAAACACGGACCCTCATTTTTTTACTAACTTGCTCTGTGGTTGATAAACTATGGAGTCCCTGAGACCGGAAAGTGATTGCTGGAACAAATGAAACATATGTAAAAAATATGACTAAGCCGCACAAAACACATTAAATTGTATTTTATTAAGGGATCAGCTTTAATCAGCTATATGTTTAAAATCTTAACATGAATTGAGTTAAATCATAAAGTTTAAAGACTTGATATTATCATGAAAACTTTTATGCAATGGGTTTGTTTACAAGAACAAAGCTGATTAAAAACTTGAATGAAGCAAGAGTCACCTCGAAAGTACGCAGCAGTTAAACGTTGTGCCACGCAGTTGGGCAAGGATCGAAAGACAGCGCTGAACATTAGGAAATATCACACTGCTTTCATTACCTTTTTTGATGGGGAGAAAAAAAAATATTCAAAAGAATTAAAATTGCTGCACCACATTATCCTATATATCCAGTACAAAATGGCATGATGCCTCAGCATGCCCCTTAAAGACAGGTAACGAAAATAGGGAAGAATCTTTTCTCTCTTAATTCCCTTCCCCCAGGCATTAATACAGGTTTTTGGATTTCATCCCTCACTGATTAATGAAAGAAAACATACCTAACCACCCAAGCTACTGACATGACAACACAACCGGGACTTCGGAAAAACGGAGAGGAAATGTCAACTAAATGAAATCAGGACCAATGCCGGATATTGTCGTTAAATGACATGAAAATAAACAAAAATTAGAATTCTGAAAACTCTAGATCCTACTCACCAGACGATTGACGATTGTGATTGTAGAAAGGTAATCGCGAGGGGCAGTAGGGCCACTTCATTCATGTAGGTCGGTAGGCAACTGCCAGCGCCTTAAGCTCATGCAACTCTCCTCTCTGGGTGGACATGTCAATCAAGGTGGGATCTGCTGCGGGATTTCCCTTCTCGAAATAGTAAAATAAAGTGCAGATGTCAATGCTCATTGGCAACGGTTTTGATTCTGTACTTTTATCAAAAGTGTGTGATATTTCTAAGTATTATAATCATAGAAGTGAGAAATTTAAAGCCTAATCTGAGAGACATTTCGTGTTGAAAGGTTACGGACCTGGCCTGCTGGGCCTTGGCCGAGAGCTAAGAGGGCTCATTTACCTAGTTCCGTGAACCTAGAGAAGGCAGGCGTTCGTAAACAATAAACATTGCTCAAAAGCAACCTAAAAGACATTACTTGAAAAAACAAGAATATGTTGTCCGAAATAACAGCTATCAATTTATCACATATTGATGGTGCTAAGCTTCAGGCTAGTGTTTCCGAAGTGTCTACACCGGTTGCGAAGAAGAGGCCGATGAAGGAAGATGAAGCCACCGACACCGTTCACCTAACCCCTGCTAAAGAGTTCTGGTCAGAGGAAAGGTTAAACAAACGAGCAAAAAAGTTCAGGGTAGAATGGATGAATGAAGATTATTTTAAGGACTGGCTCCGACCGCATCCAACGGATGAAACTTACTGCATCTGCGTTGCTTGTGACATAAGACTTCGCTGTGGGAAATCAGAACTTGAAAAACATGCATCTGGTTTGAAGCATTGCAAGAGATTGGAAGCAATGAAAGAAAATCCAAACCATGTCTCACGACTAGCTATGCTGTCAGATAGTTCCCAGTCACAAACAGAGCAAATGCTTTCTGAAGAGGTAAATTATGAGTGTTTGGAATGTTATGTTATTACGTATGTTAATTTATCCATTACAATACAAGAATTTTGTTTTATCTAATACTTCTTTTCTTGCAGAATGGAACCTTTTATGTTGCAACAGAAGACCTCGAGCACTCTGCTGCAGGGGTAGCTGACAGTACTCTCTCTAAAGCTCTCATAAAGTTATCTAAATACTTGGATGACAATTCTGACATTGCGCAGCAAAAACTTAAAATGGCAGAGTTGGAGCACCAGCGTAGGATGCAAGTTTTAAACAAGGAACTAGAATTGAGGGCCATCGAAGTATTAATTAGGCAAAAAGAATTACAAAACTTACATACTTTTGCAACATTGCAGAAACCTGAGTTGGAAACACAGTCACTAATCATTCATAATGTGGATGACGACGAACTTGACAAATCGTGACTCTTAACTTTTCGCAAAAATCTTTTTCTTTTCTGTTTTCTCTGCCTGGGGTGATGATGGTCCAATATTAAAATCTCTAGAATAATGTTTTACTTTTTTAAAGATATTAATACAAATTCAGTTTTGACATTTTGTTTAAGAAAAATTATTGCTTCAAGTAGTGTCACTTGTGTTTTGGTTCCAAATTGAACCGTAAATTGTGTTAACTATTATGTAATTATAGAAGTATCAGTTGGCTTTTGTGATAAGTTCAAAGATAACTTAGTACAAAGATGTATGCCAGTTATATTCCAGATTATAAAATAAAGAAAAAAAGGTGTACATAATTTCCTGAATCATTTGGTTATTACTTTCTCTAACAGTAACTTTTACATAATCAAAATTAAATTTTGAAAGAAGAAAAAACTTGTTGGATAGCTACTTGTTCTGGATTTCAACTTTAACAAATTCAGAGCGGCGTTTATGAAGTTCTTTGACAAGAGAAAGTACGAGGGGATGGGAAAACTTATCTTTTGTGGAATCAAAAAATTCTTGGAGATGCCCAGGCTGATTTTCTTCCTTTTCATAAGAAAAAGCTTCTAAAATCATATCAAGGCTATCAAGTTCTTTAACAAATTTGGCTTCAGGAGTCATTTTGGCTTCATATTCCTGAAAAAAAAGAAAAAGTATCCAAGAGGGTTGAAAATAGTAATTGCCGTAATTGTTAAAGTTTGTTTGACAGTTAATAAGATCCATCTACCTTGTATAAAGAATACAGCTCTACTCCACTGACACCAGCCAAATCACATAACTCCTTCATAGCTTCATCCTCTCTCCTATGTTTTTCTTCCGGGTCCACTCCACAGTGAGGCGTAATATCACCTACAATACATTCAGCTAAATCATGAATAAGTGCTAGCTGCATGCACCTGTGCATGGAAATTAACAAGATTTTAAAAAACGTCATGACAAGAATGGAGTTCCCAATCTGCTACACTACACTCACTTTACTTTATCTACAGAGGTTTCTGATGAATCAAGAAGGAATGTTATGATAGCCATCCGATGCATGTGGCCAGCGACACATTCTGGATCTGGTACATGTCTCAGCACCCAACCAGTTCTCTTGACATGCTTAAACGTTATAATATCACGGAAGAGATTAAATTCTGAAGTTAATAGTACTTTCATAACTTAACATTCTGATATGGTACCTTTAATTTTCCGACAAGGAATAAGAAATCCAACATTTTTGTACTAGATGTGGAACCTTCCATTTTCGTTCTGTAGGCAGAAAGGAACCAAGCAAAATTAACGCTTTGTTGGTATTTTCTAAAAATGGTCTTTCTCTTTTCCTGATTTTGCTCTGATGACAACTGTTCAAGCCGACGAGGCGATTATGCCGGCAAACTGAGCTGGAAACCTCAGTTTGTGGTTTGTGGTTTTGTTTGCTTCCCCCTTCCCCCTTTTCTTCAGATGTTTCCGATGTTTCGGTTCTTCTGCTAATCTTTCTGAACGCAGAATTCGCCATATGTGGCCCCTCTTTCCCCCATGTCCCCCCCCCCCCCGCTTCTGCTTATTTTGATTTTGCGTACCGTTTCACATTACACGGATTTAGCTTTTTGTGTAAAATTCATAATATGTCAGTTAGATAGAAAGACAGCACTCGATGTTAGGTGGCCAATACTGAGTAATCTCAAACAAAGACCTTTTAAATATCCGTGTTGATTAATAAAATAGTCATGTTGCCAAAACCTAACCTCCGATGCTTTGGTACCTGCCAAGCTTTACTAAAACAAATCCCAACTGACCTGAAGGGGCGTAAAACAAGTTCTCAAGAATGGTTGAAACGTCAATTCAAGGATCCATATGTTGAAAAATCTAAACTCCAAAACTATAGGTAATTATTAAAATACACAGAAAGATGTATGACTCAGGAACTGCCGCACTGATTTGTTCATTTATTTATTCGTTTTCAAAAGGAGTCGCAGTGCTTTTAAGTTGATTGAAATAGATGAAAAGTTTAAGTTCCTTAATCCTGGACTTACTGTCGTTGACTGTGGAGCATCTCCTGGTGGCTGGACACAAGTGGCTTCTAATCGGTGCAACGCAGATGCAAATGGTAAGCTGCTTGTATGGAATCTTAAGAGTCCATTTCAAATATTTTAAAACTGCACTAACTCATATTATATTCGTATTTCAGATGCAAATGCTCCTGTAGGTACAGTGGTAGGGATTGATTTAATTAAGATCCACCCCATACCTGGTGCAACTTTACTTAGTCCAATGGATTTTACCTCACCTGTCACTCAAAAGAAATTACTCGAAGTTTTAGATGGTAAACTTGTGGACGTATTTATGAGCGATATGGCCCCTAATGCAACAGGACTTGCATCTCTAGATCATGAACAAATTATAAGTTTAAATATGCAAGCATTACGGTTTGCACTTCAAGTTTCAAGGCCTGGGAGTGTTTTACTAGTTAAAATTTGGAATGGTGGTTTGTTAAAGACCTTTCTTCAAGATTTAGAAAAATTTTATTGTAAAGTTCAGATTGTTAAACCTCCTGCAAGCCGAAAAGACTCAGCTGAAATATATATTTTCAGTCAAGGCTTTAAAGGCTTAAAAAAATAAAATATAATAACCAGAAAAATACAGAAGTAGGTTTTTATATGCTGGTGGTTGTGTGGAATGAATAAAACAATCTGTTGATATGTTCCAATCCCAATTTATTCTTCAGAAGTTATACAATGTTAAACCTAAACTTGTAACATGTTAACACTACAATTATATTTCTGATAGCTGTATGAGTCATTGATAATCCAACATAGCAGCAGAGAGAAGAAAAAAGTGATTGAAGATTATTGTAATTTTCTTAAAATCATGGTACAAGGCCTTAGATTCTTCTTTGGAAGACATTGTAAACAAATGCAAAAGTATCTAAAGGGAGGCAGCAATACACTAAGCCCAAAGTAATCCCATAAGTTTGAAAGGAACCATCATAGATCCTCAAAATAGCATGGAATTTAAATTGGTTTTACACATATCACAAAGTTCAGTGTACATGTTGATAGATGCTAAATTTTGTTGAATTTTTGTTGGTTTCCAAATCATAGCCACAGGTTACTTTCAGTTGAAGGTAATTATGCATAGTTGTGCCCATAAAATGTCTCTCCAGTCTGTTTAAAATCTACACAGCACCAGAAAACTGTAAGTGTCTGGAAAAAATATAAATAATACTACACATTCCTCAATACTTCCCTACTTGATTCAGGCCAAACAATTTAAGTCCACAGGATATGACTCTTCATTGATCCTCTACGTTGGCCTGGACTTTTCATTTGGAGGCCTGGTTTTCAACAAGCAGAACTTTCACCAAAAATTTTGTTTATTGTCGAACAATCAAAGTCACTTTCTTTTTCTTTCTGAATTCCTTCAATAGCTACAAAACTCATTCATGGGCACATTCATACCTCCATTATGCGATATGTACCTTGGTTCCGACTATCAGAAATTGATGTGTACTGAAAAGAGATATGTGAACATAAAAATGAAATGGTTCGATTTTGCTTAGTGTGACAATATTTTCAAGCGTATTCCTCTTTATCTTACAGTATATCATTCACTCACTCATCATACACTCAGCTGTGAAAAGAATCAAGCTGTCTATAGAAAAAAAGAAAGAAAACAAAACTATTTCTTAATGGCTTTAAAGCAATAAGAATATTAGTTTTATCAATATTATTATCACTGAACTCTAAATCAAAGGTTGTACTGTACATAAAGAAATTTTAAGTTCCTCATAAAATTAGGCCAGCATGTTGTTTAACTTGCCTTAATCCACCCTCTCTTCCAAGACCTTAATTTGTGCCACATAACATTTATCTTTCCAACTTCAAGAACATGTGTTTCCATATGGCTATAAATATAATGAGATTGATAAAGTCTAATCAAAATTCAGTTCTACTTGACTGTGACAAATACCCTTTTCTCTCAACCAACGTAACAATTTGCCATGAAGAGGTTGGTTTCATCCGCAATAAAACTTGTGGAGAGTTCTGATGCATTTGTTCATAAGAATTCATAATTTACCCATCCAGCAGCATACGGCATGTTATCCAGCACTCGCCATAAAACTGACTAAAAAATCTTTAACTTTCATCACAGGGTGGGTTTATGTTTTTTACACGCTGACAGTATCAACTTTGAAAATGACCCAGTAAGCGAGGAGCTAACAGGAAGTTAATCACAGGGGCAATACAAGTTAAGATAAGAGAGCATTTTTATCAACTCACTCTCCGTCTCTCGCAAATCCACACCCTTATTACACACACACACGCTCACATACAGCAGATGCACACACACTCGCACACAAACTTTTGTCCCGTTGCTCTAGGCCTACCCCTCCCTTCTCGCCCCAGCGGCCACCGCCACAACCGCCAGCGGCCAGCACTTCACCCCATTCCGGCGCTCCCAAACTCGCATCCACACACACACACACACACCAACATACTCGCACACTCGCGCGCTCTCACACACACACACAGCTATAGTCAGGTGACGGCGACCTCCACAGCCTAGAAGCTGTCCACGTCGAACATGTCCAGGCTGCTGGCGGGCTGGTAGACGTCCTCCTCCTCCCGCACCGACAGGCAGTCCTTGGGCGAGCACGTGACGCGGCCCACGGGGCTGCACTCGCACTGCAGACACGAGCCCGTGTCCCGGGGCAGCACTTCCCCGACCCGGTAGGTGCTCCCTGGAAAAGGCAATCACGCAAAGTCGTCAGTAACTCCAGGTACATATGTTCAGATGAGACGTATGGAAAGCACGAAAGTCACGTAACACTGCAACATGGAGCTTGAAAGGGACCCGTCAACTTTCGAAGTTTTATACCGTGCCGCAAAGCACGCGTGCCTTTCGTCCCCGATCACAGCGCCTCAAGGGATCATCGAGAAAGTACGTCCGTTTTCTTTTTTCTTTCTTTTTTTTCAGATTCATTTAGCAAATTAATGGGACACGGCGCCTGTGAGACTCTGGGTAGGCCATCCCGCAGTACACGCCCGTCCTGAATGCAGGATATTGCCTACCCAGCAGGCGCTATGAGAGCTTGCAGAGGCTGTACCTGGCCTGGCAGGTTCGTAACGGCGAATGGCCGACGTACTTTATGGATGATCCCTTACAGATCGAGCAAATGTAGGCAACCAGCACACACGTGCGCGCACGACACAATATTGCTACGAAAATCGAGACGAAAAGTAAGGATTTCTTGTGATGTTTCCAGTCGAGCGAGCCCGACTCTCACCCAGGACGTGACAGAGGAGCTCCGTGGTGGTGGGCGCGCTGGTGGTGGTGGCGTTGACCGGGCTGGCCGTGGTGGCCACCCCCTGCGTCACACTGCTGCTGATGATGATGCTGCTGCTGTTGCTGTTGCTGCTGGCGCCGGTGCCGCCCTCCTCAGCGCCCGTCGGCCCCGTCGGCGTGGACGCCGCCTCGGTGCCGGATTGCTCGGAGTGCTCGGGGAGCTCGGCCTGTGGGTTGGACGTCGGGTCCTGCGCCGCCCCGGTCGTCGGCTGCCCTCCCGACGAGGTCGCGTCGGCCCCCGTGGCGGCTCCGACGCCGGCCCCCGCGATGGAGGGCGGGACCGTGGAGGCGGCCGAGGAGGCCGCGGTGTCGTTGGCCGGGGCGTCACCTGCGAGCACGCCGCAGAGAGGGTAGGATCAGGCCTATGGGGCACCTTACTCAAAAAAATAAACCTAACACTTACATCCTCAAAAAAAAATAAAATAAAAGAATAAAATAAAAGAATAAAATAAAATCAGAAAGCAATCAAGTCAAGAAAAATGAAAGGAAAAACAGAAAAATTGTCGTGCACTTGAATTTATATGGAAGTACCCCTCGATCAGATCCCGTGTCCGCACGTGCGCGACACGTGGCTCGGGACCGGGGCTTACCGTCGCCCTCAGGTGAAACCTGCTCCGACGCGCCGCCGCTCACGTCCCCAGAGGTTCCCAGGGGCGCCGCCGCAGCTGACGCAGCTGACGCAGCCGGCGCGGCCGTCGAATCGTCCTGGCAGCTGCTGAAGGGCGCGCGGCCGCGGCAGGGGCCCTGAGCCGTTGAAGGGGGGCAGTCCTGCCACCAGCAGAACACCTCGCCGTCCAGGCACACGCAGAACTCGCAAGGGTCTGGGCGGGTCACCTGTGAAACGAAAATCAAAACAAAGGTGTTAATTTTTACTTTTTCGGAGTTGTAAAAATGCCACCCTTAACCTAATGAACCAAGACTTCAATATTTAAAAATAAAACACAACTGAAACTGAAAATCAGCAGGAGCGCCTCGGAAAGAAAAAAGAGTCGACCTCTCCTTCCTTCTTTTTCGAGACGATCACTCGGCAGGGGAGTGGGTGGGTCGTTCTACTTCACCTGATTTTTGTTTGCTTCCACATCAATGGGATGCGTGGAGCGGAAAAGTGCGAGGGAAAACCGACCGTGAGAGAACGGCAGTGAGAGGAGCAGGGGCAAGAGGAAGAGGGAGAAAGGGAGGGGGGGGGGAGGGGAGAGTTAGAAAAGGGAGAAAAAAAAGGGTACGAAAAGGGGAGAGAAGACCATCACGGACAGCGCAGCGCGGCAGATATTTGCCATTATTCGTGCCAGCGATTTCATGAGGATGAAGTTCTCGACCGAGTCCTTGGCTCTGCTGATTCGCTGCTGCCCTCCCCCCCCTCCGCGCCCTGGTTCACCGGCCTCCACACCCCTTCCCTTATCAGGTCCGCAGACAATCGCGGAGAGGAACGGGGCCCAGCCTGATATTGGATTTTGAAATTGTGCAGAAGGAAAGTTGGAGTGGTGGATTGTCACGCGACGAATTCCTATGGCCGTGCCGAGTGCTCGTCTCGGCAGGAGCGGGCTGGGGTGGGCGGGCTGGGGCCGGTGGGGCAGAGCAGAGCGGGGCGTGCAGGGAACGGCCTCACCGCTGATGGTGTGTACGGCTGAGAGGAGACGCGGGTTGAGCCACACCGAAGGGGATGGGGCTGAAACTCCGCGCGCTGCATACGGACTACGGACGCGACGCAGAGTTAGAGACGGCGTGGACGGCGTCAAGCAAAATAAATAAAATAATAGCGAAGCGTCTTCGAAGAGAGTCGACAGGCTCTCTCTCCAATCCAAAAAGAAAAGAGCAGGTGAATAGTAGGGGTACTCGAAAAAAAAAAAAAAGAAAAAAACAACAAAAAACAACAACATCTATACCCCCTCCCCTCCCTCTTTCATCCGAATGGCGCGAACCTTATGCTCTTTTCATTTCTTTTGAATGGCTATTGCGAGTGACCAGCCTCTCGTTCTTTTTTTGCCCCAGTTCGTGTTCCCCTCACCCTTGTACCACACACACACACTCACACACACGAGTGATGGATAAGGAAATAAAAGAGCGGAGAGATTGGACTATCAAATCAGTTGATTGGCTACCTTCCAATCGCTCCATTTTTCCCCCAGCCTACCAGCCTCTCCTCACCTCCACACACAGCTCTCTCTCTCTCTGCCCCCCTTTCCCTCTGGCTCCCTCCCTCCCCCCCTTCTCTCTCTCCCTCCCTTCCTCCATGCGAAAGCTTTGATCCGCTTAGAGCATAGCATTAGTCTATTGTAACGCGACCGGGGCAATATGCATGTGAGCGACCTTTAGCCCCACGGAAGGCGGGGGAAAAAAACCAACACGAAACGAGATCAAAACGCGTGTGCATATTGCGTTTTTCTGAATGGGCTAAATCGAGTTAAATGAGAAATGAAACACGCATGAAAAAGACTGCAAACGAGAAGTTACTTACTTGGCAATAAAAAAAAAGGATCTTCCGCGTTGAAATTGCCAGTATCACTGTGGAAATGTAAAACAAGCAAGCCGCGGAGAAATTAGGAAATTAGACCGAAGAGGCGCCGTTAGGCCTCGAGTAGCCGACGAAGCTCCGCGGTGGCGGGGCGGGGCGGGGGGCGTGGGCGGGGTGGGGCAGAGGAGCGGCCTCGCACCGCGCTGCGAGCAGCAGCAGCAGCAGCCCTCCAGAACCGAGGGAAGGCATCCGTCTTACGCCTTCTTAGCCTAATGCTGCGTGACAAAGTCTCTTGGAGCAAACTCTCTCACGGCGCGACGGCAGAACGCGCGAGAGTGGGACAGAGAAAGATGAAGTTGCGCCGCGCGCGGGAGAGAGCGAGCGAGTCGAGGAGAAAGAGCGAGAGAGAGAGAGAGAGAGCAAGTGGGAGCCGTCCCAAGGCAATAATCGTCGCAAAGGATGAGGGGGAATCGCTAACTGTTGCTGCGGATGGGTTGCCCCACCCTCTCTACCTCTTTCCCCTCTTAGGTTGATGATTGTTGAGGCGAGGGGGCTGAGGCTGGAGCGGCTGGAGGGGGGCGCGCCGCCGCTGAGGCTGCCGCCGCCTTCCGAGGCGCCCCGCGCGACTAATGTGTGCCTCTCCTGGAGTTTGTTCAGTCGGAAGGAGACAGCCCATTAGTTCGCAAAAAGCAAACCCCCTTTGCCGCCAACGGCTACCGCCGCCGCCGCCTAGAAATGAAGTACCCTGTCCGCTTTTTATTCAACACCCATCAGTCAGTAATTTTTGTACGATTACCATTGAGAATCGTGGAGGGAAGGGCGAGGTTTTAATTTTCCGGTAAAGGCAGAGGGGAAGGGAAACAATCTCTCTTCCCGGGCAGCATTAGTTTCGTAACATTTCATTCGATTTCATTGAAAAACTGTACGGTGGATATTATTTACATTGTTGTTATGATTGTCGCTGTAATGGTGGTGTTTTTTTTAAATTTTAAATTATTATTATTATCATCACGATGATGGTGAGGATGATTATTATTCCGACAGTCACCCCCGGGGCGACGGCACGGGGACACAATGGCAGCGACGCGGGCGCGGCCGAGTAGCGATAGAACGGCCGTCATTAAAATTCGAAGCGGTGCGGGCGACAGAGCGAGAGAGAGAAAGAGGGAGAGAAACAATAAAACACCTTGCCCACTGCGGGAAAACAACGAGAAAGGGCGCGGCGCGGGGGCTGGCGAAAAAAAAGAGGGGAGAGAAAACGGACACGACGAAAAACAATCTCGCTCGTTGCCGTAGCCATGAGGCGCGCCGCGAGCGCCGCGAGGCAGGCCTCCTCGGGGGCGAGGCGGGGAGGGCGGCTTGTCCAGCGCGCCGTGCTGCTAAACCCGGTCCGACCACGCGGCACAAATAATAAAACGTGGGTGTTGTTGGATGGTGTCGCTCGCTCGCTCCGGACCCTACACCTCTACAGCTGTAAGACCCTGCTGATCATCTTTGTCACACTATCCGATCTGTCTGTCTGTCTGTCTGTCTGTCTGTCTGTCTGTCTCGCTCTCTTGGCTTGCTTCACCCCACATTCCGGCTTTCCCCTGCTGCATCGCTGTAGATTTATCCAGGGGAGGAGGAGGAGAGTAAGGCGCGCGTGTCTCCGGTAACACGATTAGCTTCCGAGGCCACACACACACACGCACACACACGCGCTCTCTCTTTCTCTCTCTCATTCTCTCTCGCTCTCAGTGGCTGCACTTAGAGTCGACCCCGAGGGCTCCGCCCCGCCACCCGCAACACCGCTCCGCGAAGAGACGTCCATCCGGATGTGGGGCTTCGAGTCCACCGCTGTGTAACGCCTCTCGCCGAGCTCGCTCCACTCCCGCCCCGAGGGGGCTTACAC